AGCATGGAGTGTCGGTTTCGTAGAAATAAAGGAATGGACGGCGAAAGTTTGATATGTCGTTGGTATATCAATGAGTTAAAACAAGGTATGTTGTCTGTCAAGGACAGTTTGACTGACAAAATGTCAGCAAATTCACGACCTTGCAGACAATAAGCTTTTCTCTCATCGTTAAATTTGCATGATATTAACTATGGTTTTTCGCTTAGCGAAGTTGAGAAAGATATAGAAAAAGAGGAATTCCTTGTCAGAAGAAGAATAGTGTAGTATTTTGCGAAAGATTCGGGAAACGACAAAATTAATGGATCATCCGAAAGTTTGAACTTCATACACAAATATCATTTTTGGAATTTGCCGCGCGTCTTTCTTACTCTACTATTAGCACAGCCAGCTGTGAGAGCGCATTCCTAATACTCAAACTTATATTGAACTACCTCTAATCATCAATGAGCCAGACAAGGCTCACTGATTGGCAGTTCTCCCCATAGCGAGGGAATTCAATAATGAACGGATTTTTCTGTTGTTATCAATACTATTGCCTCACGTAATGCACACAAAATGTATTTGTGCATTCTGCCCAAGAATATTGTAACATTACAAATACTTGTATTTACGGCAGTAGTTTAACTTTGATCTTTGTTGTTATATGAATGCAAACATATAACTTCTGTTCGCAATTATGTGGGCTTACGGATTGACAGCTCTCAAAGGGCGGCAAAAGTAGTTGCTACAGCAGTACTGGAGATCTTCGAGATAGTGCAACGACTCAACGCTGCGTATGTTGTATGAAGTGCTTTCATCCCCACTCACTAGTTTTCATCTGTTCATTATGGAAACAGCCCATTCGAAGATTCTCCCATGAATGCGTCATAAGCATGCTCAGGCCCAGGTAACCTTCAACAACCATTGCACACACACGCACGATCTTAAGTTAATTTGAAGCACATTTCACAGGATGACATATCTGATTGGTAAGAAATCAGATCGAACAGTTGTCAAGTCTCTTTGTATAATCATGGTGCAACTTTGTGCACAAAGTTCTTGGTCCGGACTGGAGGTATTCTAAAGTAGACAAAGTGAAATGGGTTTTTCTCGAAACCAACTTGTACATGAGCATCAGGATTTGTTTGCTCTTAAACAAAACGCATCGGGCAGCAGTTTGTGGTACATCTTCATATAATGTTTTGTCAAATTTTGTCTAATGAGAGCTTGGTAACATATCGCGGTTGGTCTTCTGGAGCTGTTATGTTTGCTTTCCTTAAGTTGTCACAAAGTATGCTTCAGCGCTCGAGAAGGATAAAGGTTAGCACTTCAAAAGGTTTAACTCTAGATGAAAAGGTGGTTTATGTGGGACCTAGTAGCCACAGACTTCTGGTCGGTGTTGTCTGCTACTCGGCCTGCTCAAAAAGGTGAAGACACCGGAATACCTAATTCCGGCGACTACTGAATCTTTCAGGTATCAAACAATGTGGAGGCACGATGCTGGATTTCACTGTGAACTTCACCAACGACCCGTCATGCCATAACTCAAGACAATGCATATTATCTGGAATGAGGGACGACGTAATGATCCGTTCAGCTTCTTGGACCTTGTAGATATCATTCATATTATCGCATTTAATGATGCAACCAGTTCGTGGTCTTCGCCTGTGTACCAAGCGATGTTGGCCATGTGATGATCAACTGTAACAGCTTTGGCTACATGCCACCTGCACTGACATCATTGTTCTCGCCAAAGAGTTAAACTGGCGAGTCGGCCACCCCCTGCAACCTAAGTATCGTCTGGATGGCTGCGCATGGAACAAGAATCATTCAGATATGGCATCCAGATTTTTTGATGTGTATGAAGACGACGGTCTATTTCTCGAAGAAATGTACGAAGAATTCTGCTAAGTAAATAAGTCTCAAATAAATCACCTTACAACTAACTTCATGTGGCTAATTAACTTACAAATTGCAGATGCCTTTGGTCCAATTCACTTGATTCAGATCACGCGATTCGTGGAGTATCCGAAACGGAAGCACTATAAGCTTGCTTCGAATGGGCCAACCGATCAGATGATTCCAATGAAATAGCAACTCAACGGCAAACATACTGGTCTGCGTTATACCGACTAATGTCGAGCAGCACGAGGTATTTTTCCGAAAACAGTGCTAACTCCAAGCCCAGCAGTCTGCAGTTTAACCCGTTACCCCTACTAATGCTGGATCTTCGTGCTTGCTGGCGCTGTTCGACGGCTACCGAGCTCCCCCTTGAAGTCAGACAAGAATAAACTTGGCCGCATTACCAGCCGGTAAATAGAATGCAGTCTTCGTAGCAAGCGAGAAGTTCTGTGAGCCCAATGTTATTTTGTGATGCTGGCTGCAGCCTTCTCCATAAGGGCTCACAGGCTCTTTAGTCTCATTCCTACCAGCGACTCCAGGAGACCCAGAATCTGGAGGGTAACTACAAAACGCACGGATCAACAAGCACTAACTCGTAATAAGGCATTAGCAGATGAACCGAAGATTTCTTACTGCAATCTAGTTGCGACTAGCCACAAGAATTTCACGCAACACGCCCAGTCGCACGCCTTGTGCTGTGTCAACTACCGAGAATGGGAGAGATTTGAAGTCTAGTCTTTTAAGGTGAATGCCCACAGAATTATTCAAAAACGGTGACATACATTGTCGCTTAGTTAAGCTTCATGTTTATATTGATCTAGAAAAAGAAAATTGAGTCAATTATTTGCTTGATCTTACATAACGACCCTCTAGCTTAAGGTACCAATCAGAGAGAAGTCAGTCTGCCTCATGCTGATCCCAGTCTACTAGCATCCATCATGCTCCGCAGGCTAGCCCCAATTCGCGAGGCGCACTATCTGGAGGAAAAGTCTGTCTTTAGCCCAGGTTGAATATTCGCGCTTCATCAATTTCTCTAACATTGCCACCTGTACCGCCCTTCTGGACATTCTGGCTACAATTGTCTCAGTCGATCAGTCTGTTGAATGGTATTACCTTCCAAGCAACGAATCTCCCTAAAGTACATCGCCAAGCCTCGGGTAATGTACAGTGAGTACCTGTGGCGACCAGTATGTACCCATCCCTGGCACCAATGATGTTCGACAGCTGCTCCGTGTCTTCATTCCATTCCAAGGCTACGATCAAGGAGGTTCTATGTTGTACTTCAGAAAGTTTCCATAATTTTAACATTGGCCCTTTCCAGCTAATCGTGCAACCGACTTAGAGTACGTTGATGATGACTCGCCATATGCATTAGAAAATTTTCTCGTTTAATGCCCCTAATTATGGGTTGTCATTAGATCTTTCAAATGTAGTGCCGTTGCGGGATTGCCGAAACCACCAGTTGTGTTCACCATCGAAAACAAATGACAGATAAATAGTGTCTTTCATCTAAGGAGATGCGTTTTTGCTATCTGCCACTTATGAGGAGAGGAACCCTTTTTGATCGTTTAAGCCCATTAGATGTCGCATATTTGAGACATTCGTGGTGGTATCGCAACAAATCATTTTCAGTAAATGATGGGGTTTACAATATATTTGGTTGCGCGTTACTACTCAAACTAAGCGAATTCCGGTCGATCCATGCGGATGGTACACTAAAGCTTTCGGTTTATGAAAGTGGTTGTTTGCAGCTTAGCACTTGTGTGTGGTATCAACATCGATTGCGAAATAATGACACAAGACACCGCTTCATAGTCAAGGCGGATCTTCCCTTTGGGAGCCTTTTTGGTTGTGGCAATTGAGATGATTTGGTCGCGTCTTACGTATGCCCAATAAATGTTTACCAACGTGTGCCGTACTTGTGCACACAAGGATGAGGTGGAAGAGGCCGCGTATGGCCTACCGGTTAAGTAATATCAAGGCATGAAGACATAAACTTTTTACTAGCCATCGTTTTCCCCATGCATTGTCCAGGCTGGGACCCAAGGACGAAAAACGCCGACGGTTTTTAACATTCAAAACGATGGCTCAAAACCAGTTAGTGAAAATTTGAGTAATCTAACGATTCCAAGAACAGTAACTCTCAAAGACTTTCATACAGATGGTGGTTGAAAAACGACAAAATATCATGACTCATTTTGAAAATTGCTGCACAAATTATACTTTTACTAACTTTTCCATTGTTCTAAATGTCTCGGTGCTTATTCTATAAACTGACATAGGTCTAGCATGACGAAGCTTTTGCGTCAAAGGCTAGACGTTACCAATCAAATAAACTAACCGATTCTACACAACTCTCCAAGGAATCCTGACATAAGCCTATAGAAACTGGGTGTTGCCCGTCTGAGAACACTGCGCTCCTATGATGCGTTTTGATCTCATTTGATATCATCAGCTGGATCGAAACCCGTCATAGTAGTGCACTGTTTTCAGGCGGGTAACAGCCACTTTCTATCTGCTTCAGCTACGATCCTCATGCTCGAAAGATCAAGGTTCACTACAAGAGGAATCGCGGCCAACATTGCGATTGCGTGTCGCAATCCATCCACTTGGCGTAAGCCTACATTTTAGTCATGTTGCTGGCCGAACTGTCAGCGTTGACAGTTGAGTGCTATTCCGGAAGTGTGGCGGACCAACTGGCTGATTTGAAGAATAATTTGTTTATTGCACCGAAAATCCTCTGCTTACAATCCAATGACCAATAAGAAAGAGGGCTTTCTTCGGTGTGTGGAGGGGTAACACTTCACGCTAAGCGGAAATACCTACCGCTTTGATATTATGTCTTTAAGTCTTACGGAAACCAAAGTAGTCTAGTCAACAACGGACGCAATCAAGCAGAGCGTATGTTCGGTGTGTTGCGTTCTAGCTAATCAGTACTTTATACTTGAATTACTTGACTATCTCAACTGCAGTCAGTAATATTGGCGTTAGACTTAAAGACCCGGCAGGTAACGCAGTATCCAATGATTAAAACCGGATGCTTTTGCTGGCAGTTTCTGAGCCCATTGTAGCAAGATGAACCGGGAATGGCTATAGGTCGTTTCAAGTATACAACTCACCATCTATCACAGAATGGAGATCATCCATGATCAATTTCAACTGTTGCGTACTAAACTGTTGAAGTGTAGGAGCCGTAAGAGTGGTGCGAGGTTTGATGGATATTTCCAGCTGTAAAAATATGAAAAAGGGGGCGAGCACAGAGTGATGCTGAGTAACTCTCAGGTTTATAGTATGACATCTAGAGGGACCAACTTTAATAGCCATCTACAATATGCGCATACAGAAGTCCATTGAACAAGATCATCATCAATTCTGTACATGAGTATGCTAATGCGTGACTAGTACGGGATTGTCTGTAAAGCCACTGTAAGCTGTTGTGATAAGTCTATTCGGGTTTTTGCAATACTACGCACAAGCCACTGGTTTATGACGAGCAAGCATCTTCGTTGTCCATGAAACAGCAAGTCAAGTAACTAGAGGTATGCCCAAATAAATGACATGAACTTTGATGAAGAACTAAGAATGCCCATTGACTAAGTTTCATTTACAAACCACTAAGTGAACGACAAGGTTCGTGGTGGTATGACTTCATTTTGTCAGCGCAATTGTGTAAAATATTTTCCACAGTTCGCACTTTACGCAGTAAAACGTTGGTGCTGCAATAGTAAGTTGAGTTGTAAACACTTAACTCAGAGCGACTTGAATGTCCACTCATGGAATTTTATGAATGCAAGACAACACTAGATAAAGGCAACCTCATTAAGACTAACAACCAATGAAGAGACGCAACTAGCAGATAAGCAAAATGGGGGATTTTCGGGCCATTTTGTTCGGGAGGCCCATTCATCGAATACTCGCTTCAGGTTTGATAACCTTGATGGCACCGAAACCTGCTGACCCTGACGAACTCCATCCACTTATTCTCAAGTCCCTATCAGCCATCATCACACCTGTCGTGACTGATCAACATGTCATTTCCGAAGGTTCATTGCTGAGCGACTGAAAATGATCGAAAGTTTCGAAAGACGGTGACTGCCGTAAACTCAATAACTACAGGCCGAATTTTCTGATGCCTATTTTGGCTGAGGTTGCTGTTCCAAAAGAAAAATCTACAGAGGTCCGCAAGACACGGTTTTAAGCTAGTCCGCTCATGCGTGACCAACCCGCTGGTAGGGAGGTATGAAACGTTGCTGCTACACGGGCTGGCACATCCGTGCCAAACTCACCGGAGTTCACCGTCGCCCGTACACTATCAGGACAGAAACACACTGTCGCTATGCAGATAGCTAAAATACTCAGTTCAGAGCGGAGCTTTCCCACGGAAACTGCCGCCAAGGGTCCACTCATCTGCGCAGATCACAACGCAGTTGTCCTCAGTGAGAACGCGGCCAACGTAACCCGCACATTCCTAAATTAACTCGACCCACTCTCACCATCGTATCTGCTGGAATCTCCTCAAATCAACAGTCTGCCTCCTGAGCTATGTTCTTGCCAACGTCTTACCTACCGAACACGCTAAACAACTGTGGTATGTCCAACATGTCAACAGCATGGGCCCCACCCCATCTCTACTGGAGGTTGAACGATTACACAGCAACTCATGTGTCAACAAACGTACCCATTGCCTTAACGTCTATGTATTTACTGCCGTTTTAGTAAACTATAAATATGAAGGCGTAGAAAGCACGGTTGTCTTGATTGAGTAAGTAAAGACACTCTACTATTGGCTTATCTTCGTTCTGCGGGTCTCGGTATGGCTGTGCGGTGTTTAGGCATTCCATCTACCGTCTCAGTTAAGAGTTCACGTCTGCCTGATAAGTCCAAAAGCCGTTCCAATTCGGATTATCTAGGCTACTCTGTACATGGGAACCAACGAGTAAAAGAGTTCGTCCGTTCCTACTAGGATACACGAAATTCAACCAGGACATTTATAACAGTTGTAAGCATTGAACCAGAGGAAGTACATCGACGAATGCTACGCCGATTTTAATAAAGAGTTCGACAAGTTAAACCAACTGGTCGTCCTCCACAAGCTGAGATTGTGCAGTGTTGATGGATCACTGCTCCTGTGAATAAAGGACATTTGCGCTGGACGAATGTGGAAGATACAGATAAACAGCCATCTAACCTGCTGGTGCCCTCTTTAAGGGGCAAACCCCAAGGCACCGTTCTTAGGCTTGCTCTGTTCGTTATCAACATAAACGTTCTAACTCAGCTTCTTCGGTCACCGTTCGCTCTTATTGCAGAAGAGCTGAAGATTTGGAGAGTGATTAGTACCCGAGATGACAAGGATCTACGTCAGCAAGACCTCAACCGCCTCTCCAGTGTGGTCTTCGGAAGTAAACATCTCAGCCACCCAAAGGAAGTCAGTATTCATGAGCTTGCGATTTGAAGTTCCTTGACAACACAAATGAGTTATATCGCAATAAACTGCGCATGCTTTCGGCGAGCAGACACAGCTTTTCCACTTGGTTTGAAGAGGTCGCCACTTGGCTCTTCACTTCCATCATGGGACTAATACTGGAGTACGCCTCATGTGCCAACTGTCCAATCACCCGATGCTAGGCACGGAGGATGGAAAGGGTCCAACTCGTAATTAACAGGCTCATTACAAGTTTACTAAAATTACCCTACGAAGATAAGTACGAAAATATAGGAATCTACACACTGTTCTACCATCGGGTTCGAATCGGTATCATGATGACGTACAGAGTATTGCATCTCGGTGAGTTCCCCATGGTAATGCCGCTATTTTAATTGCAAACGCTATACATCACTAGCAGACACCGGTACAAGCTTGCGTTGCCGAAAATAAAACTATTACTTCACCTCCTGTGCTTCGAATTGAGAGTGGTAAATTTTTGAGCAGTCGGTCTGCTCAAGTCGTGGAGGTCAAATATGTGCAACAGTTAAAACATTGCCGGACTTACACTGTGCAGCCATTCGATTCAGTGAGTGACTGCACACCATTAAAGACATTACATAACATTTGTAAGCCCGGTTATAATGTAGGTCAGACATTTTGAAATACTGCATAAGAACTTGAAGAATGATTAGATAATCCCGGGTAGAAGCTAGATTTTATAACATTTTTGATTTTATTGCGATGAAGTTGCAGGTATCTAAATTTCTAATTCCTTCTACAATACAGTATCCAGTTCAAAATTCAAAAGTAAACGTTTGGCCAATGGAAAGTAGCTGAGGGGGCAAAACATCAAACACAAATCCAAAGTTTAACAATTTGTGTGCGCTGTGGTGTAGCATAGGGGTGGCAGTCGGTGCGCTCGGGCCACATTGTTAGTACCGTCGCTTGTCAGATTCTAAATAAAGACAGCAAATTATCCGGATAAGCAGAGGGCTGAGTAATTTAATGTTACTTGGTATAACCAATGACACGTCTGCTCCATCGGTCACACCAGTGTATCTGCTTTTCCCAGCGATCTTCTTGCTTATCCCAGAGTGGTCACTTTCACCACATTTGCCTCCGTGTAACAGACAGTCATTTATTTCATCGAAAACTAACGTGCGCTTTGCCCGTAGCAGACAGATTGGGTGGTCTTCAGGCGCCTATTCTGCCCTCAGTCAGGGGGAAAATATTACCACCACCCCGGGAAGCGAAAGTAGTTTTTAGCTACTGAGTGAATAACAGAAGTACAGCAAACGACCAAAATTGGCCAATTTAATAGCCAACATGCATCCCCTGATTCAAACATTGGACCAGAATCCACTTCAGTTTGAGGAAATAGAAGGCAAGATGAACCGGGGCTAACTCACTTGATCTGCCAAAGCTGGAAGGATGACAGTCCATCGACACTTCTCAACTTCCGCCTGCATTCTGGCTATTTCTGGTAACTACGTTAAAGAGGCAAATATGATATAACTTACTATCTCAACAGAACTGACCATAGGTGGAAAACTTAAATAATAGCACAAAGATAAACTGGTCTCTGGAAAGGTTAAACAAGTGACTTGCGACTACCCAACCCGAACTAGGTGCAACCGCCCGAATTATGATGCAGCAATAATCGCATGGTGGTACATTTAGTGATTACTAAACCACATAGCTGTTTCAGTACTGTGTCCACGATATACGCACAGACGCAAAATGACAATGGTTTATGAACTAAGTGAATGGATGGTGTTTCTTAGCTTTTTTTCAACATGCTGAAACAATTTTTTCAAGGGGGTTTAGTTGCAGCGGACACTATATGTTTAATCCAATAAACACAATAAAATAGCAAAAACAAGTTATAGCTGAGATTTTCGCAAATCAACGCTATATACGTGTTGCCACACCATCAGCTATTCTGTGACTTACTCCGGACCAACAGTTCAAAAATAACAGACAAATATTACCAAACAGAAGGAAATGAAACTGTACGTAAAATTTAACCCGATACGTAAAACCAAAGAACGAAACTACTAAACTAAGTGATACTGAGTTCGGAAGGATGCTGCTGGCTACGTCCTGCTATTTTGTTTACAATAGCAGAAACAAGGGTATATGGGTGGATCAATACGTTGAAAGGTAGATTTGTAATACGTTAAGTAGGCGGTTTATAAATAATAATGCTTTCTGATTGCCGTATCTCGCAGGGAACCGATGGCAAGCAGAGTGATATACTACATGGATGGAAATAAGTAGTAGAGAATTGATCGGACTGGTTATATTTAACTACTCGTTGCGTGATTGGATCGCGCAGCGCTAACCCTATATGGACCGCGATTCACATTAAATGGTACCTTGAACAAATCGATCTCCGGGGCCACGGCTGATGGAGCAGGCAAACATCGGGCGTTGCCTGCCTGAGAACACTGCACCCTACTACGCGTTTCAATCTCGTTTGGTCTTATCAGGTAGAGATAGCAAGCATCGGACCGGGAACTTTTGGGATGTCCGCCAAAATCTCTAACCCTAAGCCACAGAGTCACGACGGGTAACGTTTGTCAAAACAACTATATGCGAAGAGGAAGACTGTTGAGCTCATTGTTACCAAAGTTGATAGATGGACTAAGCCTAAATCATCCTTCAGTAGAATTTGTTGAGACTCAGTAAACGTGCGCACAAGCAGGAAACACATGTATCAAGTAGCATTTCATTATCTGTTGCGAGATGATAACATTCCTATATTGCTGGGTGTATTAGGCATGACATTTGTGTACCGCTTGGAAAGTACGCTAAAGGTTGAGATGGGCTTCGTGCCACCAGACGAGAATGACTACAAGAGGGTGGCAAAAGTTCCTCGAAGCTGAAGAACAAACTGGTTGAGTTTACTATGAAGAAGTTGGGTTTACAACATACAATCATCTAGCTGCCATGATAGTGAGTAAAACGGAGACTATCTGCCACAGCATTTATTGAAATGACAATGTACAACTCGGAACACAGATGAATTTGTTCATAGAGAACAGAACAAAACGATCTACAACACTATGCCATAAGTGTCCGGTCAATCTTAACCAATCCATTGATAATTAATGCATATCCATGCGTCTTCTTAAACAAAGGTAATAGTTGCTTAGGTGACATGAACAATTCATTAGTATCACCGTTTATGAGGCATAACCAGTACCACAATTCAAATGGTGTTAATGAGCGTTTGATCATAATAAGTTACAGTGCTCACAATGCCGAATGATACAGTTTCCAAGTCATATACCGAGTTTGGTTTTGAACACCGAATTTATGCACCACACTATTAATAACAAAGCAAAGGGTGCCTGTGCGCACACACTTCTGGACAAGCATTAGGCGCTTATATCATCCTTAAGGGACTGGTCATTTGCTCATAGATGCGGGATTCTGTAGGACACGAATAAACGGCTTTACCCTGATATGCCAGTAGATTGTTACTCTGTCAAGGGCGACGGCGATTACTGCGATGGCGGAGTATCAGCTTTGATGTAGCGTGACACAGTCTAAACGCCAACACTTTCTTTCGGTGCCACTCGTTGGCGCGTGTTTCCGTTAAAATGAAGTCAACTTTTATCTTCAACCTCGTCTATAGTCGACATTGCGAATACTAGCGCCAAATCCAACACACAGTTTGTAATCCGAGTCAACTCATAGCCGAATGTGTATTATTTTTCTTGTTTAGCTTGTCGGCATCCTACCGGCAAGAAAACGAGTCGGGGAAGCAATCAATATGTATGATATTTCGTTTAAGATGTGCCGCTGGTATTGTGTTGTGCAGTCAGAGGATACGATGGCTAATCTGGAATGAAATACCACTGTCTGAGCTGCTTCGTGACTGCTCCACGTGCTTATGCGAGATGCCGTTTGGCCTTTCCATGTAAGCACTCTCAGTGATACTGGGACACTTAGCCTGTGCGTACTGAAGTAGCTGAGATGCGCTGCTTCATCGCTCTAAACTAGTCGAGACTGCATGTGCTTGGTATGCATTCCACTCTGTGATCATGCATCTCCCAGTATAATGACAGCTGCGAAGCAACCACCATAAATTTTGGCGACGTTATACGAATTTGGGGCACATCATTTCCACCGACGTACTCAACGCGTCGTTTAACGGAGCATGTCGTCAAAAACTGGCATATGACCACAATCGAGTCAGCTGACAATTTCTTTGCATGATTAACGAATGCATTGAGTCGATTTTTTAACCTAACAAATCTAATGTGCAAAAGCGTTACAAATATATTTGCGTTGTGCCGAGTTCTGAAGACCGAGAGAGAGGAAAGTTAATTATTGCAAGGCTAATATATGGTCGCACATTTTTGGTGTTCATAATTCGAGACTGCAGACCCACACTGTCCGTGTTGCGGAAAACGAGATTGCCGCCAATTACCAGTTCACTATATGATCACACGGAAACCAACTGCTTTGCGTTTGCCCTTCACTGTGCTTCGGCGCTCCAGAAGAGTCCTTTTACAGCGGAACAAGCAGAAATCACTAATTTGGTCACCAGGATCTAGGCACTCACAGATGAGCTTTAATTCCTAGTTGTGTTACTGACCAACATGCAGATAAACAGAGCTGTCAGTTTTTCATAAGATGCACAAATTTGCATTCTCAATACTTAGTTCTACCTCCTAAAGACATAGCGGGTTGTAAACGGCCACATGGGCTCGGCCGCGGACGCAACGGACGTGAACCAAAGAGCCAATACTTTAAACATATTTAACAGTAATGGTCGTTTTCTCAAAAGTATCGCGTGTATATAGTTAACATTTATGATTTATGCAAAAAGTTATTAAGTGCATGCACATCTGCACGTAAAGTAAAGTGAAATTCTCACAACGATAAGCAATCATCACTGCAATGTTGGATGCAACATAAGCACCATGGTTCACTAAATGTACAGGAAAATAGTATTATTCGGTCAAACAAAAATGTGAAGCAAATATTCAGATAACTGTTTAATCAACAACAGTTTATTTTACTTCAGATGCGATCCCATTGATCAGAATGGCTGAAGTCCACATCTTAGTGAACTGAAGTCCCGACTGGAAGGCGTGTCCCGATCCAAGCACTCGGTGAGCAAGCTAAAACCAAGTGGACTCAAACGGAGATATCAAGAACTTATCATATGCTTTAATAGCCAAACTATGAACGCGTCAGTTCGCAGCCAGTGCGTTTGCAGTTACAAATTCAGCTCGGTCTATCTCTAACTAAAAATCTAAGGCATATCGTGGAATACAATGCTGGAACACGGAAAACCGTCCAATTCGGATCAATTGTTGTGATCGTAATGGCCGATGCCTATTTCAAATTAAACCATTGCAATTGCGCGTTACAGCCTAGTTACAAGGGGGACACTTTAATATACAACGTTGAACGAATGTGGAGATTTTATTTCAAGAGGCTTGGTGAATGCCCGGTAATGTATTTTTGAGTGCAGGACGCTTTGATTTAACGCACACGCTTCTTTAAGCAGATTCAGATGCGAAACGTGAACCCAACCAATGTATTGACCGGCCATCTACCAAATCTTGTTACTTAACGACTTCCATATCAGTTCCAAATATTTCCCAAAATATCGAAAGGTTGAAACATATCTGCACAATCCGATTTGCGACACGAATCTTCGCGCTTTGCCGATACCATTAGCAAACAAACATCACGGAAGTTGTGTGAGGTGCATTCAATACAACTAGACAGCTGCATGGTGAATCAAAAGCGCCTTCAGAGCTCTTTGACATTGTGCTCTTTCATGACTCTACGGAAAGTAACTACCCATCCAGGCGGCCACCAACATTCGATGTGAACCAAGTGTTTAACTCTCTTCTATCATGAGTTTCATTGCGTATTTATGCTCAACAATTTGCCTGAATGATCCCAGCTAAAGTACGTATAAAAGAAGCGTATACTTGAGCCTGTGATGGCTCAATCAGTAGTGGTACGGTAGATATACAAATGATAATTTCATCATTTGGATAACACGACTGAATAGATTTCGTGCTTACTGGAACCAAGAAATGTACCACGTCGGATATACCGCACGTGACGATGAAACATCTGTAATCGGTTTTCTCAGCCTCACAAGGCTGTAGTTACAGCCATCTGATAACCTGAATGCAATACTTATTGCACATCCGTGAAATCGACCGTGCAGGCCTGTGTTAGGCATTGTTTGGTCGATCAATAAATGGAAACTGACAAACTGCTTCATCCTTGGGATAGCATAAACCACAGTCCACAGATTTCGTGGCATCTAACGCTACTACAAGTTCCAAAAGCGTCAGCAAAGTGATCCAAGTTGAAGCTTTAGCGCTTAACTATTAACATCAGCGTTAGCACAATCACAAAAAGCTACCCTATGTTTGGAGGTCCCCATCAGGAAAACTTTCGTGTTTACCGTGCCAATAGAATTATCCTTTGGTCATCTGCACTGTGACAATGGCTGACCGAAGGCTATAATCGCTTTACCCGAGCATTACCTTATTTTGCTGTGAAACCTGCAATAATCATTCACCCGTTCATTTGGTCCGAAGAAACCCGTGCGTCAAGAAAAACACGCTGTCACAATAAATCTGAGTTTCACTCAGATTCATGTAAATTTATGAATTCCCAATTGGTTCGGAGCTTAGCTTGCGCACTGAGTTACATTCAGTGCCCCATTGTGATGTGTATGATCAGGTTGGATCCGATTCGGACTACACTTGCTGAACTTCAGATCCAAATACAGGCATACAATCTGCGCACAATACCATATATGGCTACCTGGGACATTTTGCTCTACACTTGTCTATCAATGAAGTAAGTGTGGCATAGTCTTTCAGGAAAGACTAGCCGTAAATATTGAAGAGCAAACGCCCTAGTTGATCAGACTAATCGTGAGGACACCTTGGCCCAAAAGCCTTGCATATTCTAAATGTATTATGAAGCTGAAGCCTGGCAGTTTCGAGCCATGACATGCTGGCACGAAACTAGGGGTGATGACGGAAGCACAGGTGATAAATGAGCTAATTGCATGTTGCAAACCTAAGGTTTGACAAACACCAAGGATTACCCAGTTTTTGCGATATTTGTTAAGAGTATAGCCTTTCTTCTTTTGTGTAGTGCTGAATGATTTAGACATCTACAAGACTTGCTTACCCCATTTGGGGACTTGAAAGTTCGCAATACGTCTGCCCCATTGGGAGACGTTGTGCCGTCAGGGAGAAATGGTTGAATTTTCCCCAATACTTTACAGCTCATGAGGATGAAATGGCATGAATTTTTGAACACCCAATAGAAAGCATAACATGACGAATCGTTCTGAAGTACATGTAGTAACCAATAGGTGCAAACACTTGCTAATGGGAAACCGTAACATGCGATGGCTTAAGGATGAAGCAGCAGTGCTGGCAGGGTAGAAGGCTTCCATGGGAAACATGGGGATAGGAGGCGGAAGTTGACATAATGGTTGCTGCGAAAGGTATTTTATTGGGTTAATTAAATAGCACATTATGCAAAACCAACGGTTTTGCCTGTCACCCACGTGTGCAGGAATCCAGAAACATTAAACATTATTGGTGCTTTTCGTCTCGATTTTGCAAATTGGGGCCCGACGGTCGCTTAGCCTGCTTCGCTGGCTCATCCTTTTGGAATTTATAATAATCTTGTAGTCTTTATTGAGGGTATGCTACAATGTATCATCTTAAATGGATCTGGAATCAATGCATTATTGCTCATCACAAAATGTCAATAATCAGGGTTCCCTCTCCATCTAAAAGCAGTGTGTTATAGAGGAGTTGCGTTTTATGCCTTGCAGTATAGCGTACTTTTGATGACAAACACGATAGAAATTAATCCTAGCGTGCTCAAGTAACCCGCCATCTTTAATACTCCATTGAGCTAGGACAAAGATTACATCTCACGCAAATTAAGAGTAGGGCTAGCAGATGCCTCAGTTTCCTGAAACCAGCAAAACAGTAGCAATATATTGCATACCTAGAGAACTGGAAAAACTGTCCGATATCCTACTACAATTGCGGCGCCGTGAGCAGTAGGCAGTGCAGATTAGTTTTGGGACTTTGAACGCGAACGGTGCTCACCTTGAAGAGAGTGTATATGCATCAAATCTATCAGATGTTTGAACGTTGACGAAAATATGAAACTTGTGAGATTCCGAAAAGTGCACGCGGTAACAATAGATGGCCAACTAGTTCGGGCTCTTCCTTTCGGCACGACTGTGCTTGATTTATCGAGGTCCCATTACAACGACAAATTTCTCCGAAATGGTTGTCAGGAGGGGCTGTTTGTGTAAGCAAGCCATGGCGACTTATTTTTCCTTTGTATAGGAATTTCGCAATCGACTGCAATGACTACCAAAAACGATGTCCGAAGTTGTCCAGCTGATCGATAGGAAGGACTTTGATATATGCAGTCGTTTGAGCATTCTTTCCATATCTATCCTAGACTACAGGTATTTTAATGTAATTGGATAAATTCCGGATGCGTTTAAACATTACATCATTACATGTGTCATCATCAGACTTGGTGGTGAATTTGGAGGTAGTAGAGAAAGTTCCTGATATTACTTATGGTTGTTAAGTCTGTTCTACTGATAATCGTCACAAGTGTCCTTTTGGTTGTGCATGAAGTTGTGGGCAAGATGGAAGAGAAATCCCATTGCAATTTCCTGACCTATAACTGTACGTTACTTCACGTATGTTGGCCAATGCGTTATCCTAGCACTAGATGGTATTGGTTGTTGTGTTTCATGCTGATGTTGATAATATATACATCATGCTTCTTCATGGAAGTTGGGCTAAACCAAAGTACAGTTAAACTAGACCTTTCTAACCTGCATAGGAAGTATTCCAATCTTATTTACTTTGTTCAGTTCCTTCATGCTGCTGCATGTTCCCTGTGGAAATCGCTTGTTTGTTTTCTTTCAAATTCTAAGTCGCTTGTTTGACATCCGTAGTGTGGCTGTGCTTAAGGTGAATGTTAACAAAGTACCTACCTATTTAACAGCCAGCGTCTCGAGTACCGGCTCCAAAAGACATTCGAGCGTTGCTTAGGGAAACGGTGTGCACTGTCCTCGTGGCCATAACAGACTCATAAAGGAGTTACACGCATGCAGTGTTGAGCGAACTACGGCCTAACCACCGTCTTGTATGCTCCTGGTACGCATGATTCCATACATGGATAGACAGGAATTCTGATGATGTGCATATTAAAGGACTGTGGGCCAGCTCCGTTGATAAAACCTGGCTCCCAATCACATGCCTAACGGTTTTATTCCTTCTGGTTTACACCGGATATCGGGTGTGTGGAAGGAGCTGTGAGTGGTGCAGCGAAAGCCATCTGTGGTCCTTCTGTAGGCACAAACGTTCTGGGGCTGTCCCAATGGACGCCGCAGTTACAGGCAAATCCGAAAACGGTTGCCGCCATATATAATTATATATATATGGCTGTCTAGCCGTCCACTTGCAAGGTAAAATGTTCGGCTCACAGATCCGATGGCTCGTAGCACGACACGATCCGTTACATACTGTTGCGGAACAGGTAAAGTAGCTGCATCGCTCGTTCAACTTTGCTCTGAGGTGTAAACAAAGCGACCAAACAATGGGTGAACAATATGTCCCATATTGTCTTTACATGGCGATCGAAAGCGCTGAATGATGACTTTTGCACTCGTCTCCTACTTGATATTCGTTTGAGATTACAGCTGTTCTTGTAAGACGCAGGAGTTAAAATATGTCACGTAGGTATTATTGTGGTAGGGGTGCAAATGCTGCGATGTAGTGGTTAATGATGCGCCTCACAAATTTGGTCGAAAATGGAATATAATAAATAGTGCCCATCAGTTGGGCACGAATATATATAGACACAGTTATGTGTGACACGAACTAGGAGAATAAATGTGGGAGAACTACGAGTGTACGAAACGGGTTTGAGCTAGGGAAAGAGATATTTTGCTTTGGTATATGTTGTCAAACGTCATAGCATTCATGACATAGATGAGGTTTTAGTTATCAGGTGACAATTCTGAACCCTTAAACAAACCCGCCGCCTAAGTTATCCATCCGCCGGCTGAGCGTTTCGTCTGCGATCGAGATAAACTCATCAGTGTGATGTTGTCGGTTGTGCCGTCGTACGTGCTGTTCCTAGGAAACGCCGTCAGTTGCTATTCTAATGCTTCCTGCGTATTCATGGAACCGTGATTAGCATGACACCATGGCACCGGGCTGCGAGTGATCGAGGCACTTAAGTACACCTCTGCTGTCACCCACCATCCCAAACATTAGACAGTGTGCATGTTAAGCGGGAGCAGTATACTTATATGTTCCGTTTTTTAGTCACTAGTAAGCCCCCAGTTGACTAAGTTTAGTCACGCAGTTAGTAAATTTTCTCGATACGTATCATAGCATCCGATTAAAACATTTCATCTTGATAGTTTGAAATTAAGACAGTGCATAATAACACTGTACTGGTACCCGAAAACAAAGACATAAAACAAGAAATAAATGTGTCATTGTGGTGTGGAATACCCACTAAGTGTTTGGATTGGTAAGCGCAAACATTACAGATACTTTGGTTTATTTTGAAGTATAAACGCATCTGTCCGAGTACTGAGACCATAACTACAATGGAGAGTTTTCGATGTCGCTGACCACAAAACTGCACTCTACCTAATGAGTACAACCAACGGCAACAGGGGTCATGGAGAGTAGCAGCGACAATGATGCAGAAAGAGATGTTTTTCAAGCAATGTCGAAATTGCGCACTGATTATTTCGAAAGAAGGAAATGATTGCAAAGTGAAATTTGGACGGCGGCTAATAGCTCCCTTAATAACATATTGCTAATACAAAGCAACAAAGAGAAAGTTAATAAGCTGCCTTGCAACCGCTCAAATTGCCCGACATAAAAATTAGAACTGTTTGGTTTCAGTTTACAGCATAGTTAGTGTAGCTCACCTGTGTCACGAGCGTTTCGGTCGTCGCCTGCAATAGCTTATGTTTTTCAATTTTCTCTGTGACGATTGCTCTAGCTTCTGCACTCGGACATCCTTGTAATGCTTGTTCCAAATGTAGAAGGCAGAACCGGTCAAGCTGTAAAATGTTAAGAAAAGTGCAAATTATATGCATAGTTGATAGACGGTTGGCTGTGTGTCTAAATGCACCATCCTAAAACTTTCGATCTAATGAATACAAGCACATCTTTCAAATGCCACTTCAAATCACTTTGTACTCAGCCAAACATATTATACTCGCATCAAAGCCAAACGGTTGTAGATCACCATCGGCAAATTCCTCCAGCCCTGATCTATCCTTCAGACAAAGACCGTAAACTAAAATTGAAAAATGCCATTTTTCTCCTCTTGCTAGTTTATATAGCTTTCTGCCCAACTTGACTGTGCCTACAGTGTTTGCTTCACATAACTGCATTGCAGCTCAACCGTGCGACAATTCGTTTCATGGATATTAACGGGACGTCATACACTACTAGTGTGCAAACCACAAGCCTCACATCATGCCATGCTACTTGTTGTCCACCAGACTCATATAAACAAAGTCACATTGCGCCATTACAATGAGAAACGGAAGAAAGAAATAAAGGTAGTTAATTTTGCTTTGACAAGTGAGTGCACATTTCAATGACGTTGAGACATGTGAATTGTCTGGATCGTCTTATGCTTCCACGATCAAGAAAGAATGAATATTTGAAACGAAACCTCTTTTGGAGTACACTGATGCCAAGTATTATCAAGGAAGCTAAATAAAAATAAATAGGAAACTTGCATTGCACAGCAAGGTTTGCAAGGTTTCTTAGGGCACACTCTGCGTGGTACGTTAGGAAGCAATTATTAATAACGATTATTGGCTCTGTGTAAATCTGCGGAAGCCATTGCAATTTACCTCTATAAACTGCAGCAGCTTAAGTTACAGAGCCACCTTAAGAGTAACTACCCTCTAACCAAACATGGTTGGGGATGTAGGTGGAGTTTCAGTACATCAATAACAGTAATTGTGAGTTACGTAGCGAACGGTTACGACTATGTTTATCTACGTACCTTGGCAAAGTTCTTAAATTGAGTTTATGCATAAGGAACTACAGACGTTCACCAAAGTAGACTCGTCAACAGAGGTACCATTAAAATTCAGTCTGCCTCAACTAAAAGTTAAAACTGGCGTTGGCTTTTATCGTATTGTTAGGAAAGCACTCCTCGCTCTAACACCAAGTGACATGGTTACATCCTACGGTGATTGTACATAGAGTGAATCCAAGACGATGCTAACAGCAATGGGCCTGATCACATGCAAACATGCAAGCATGTCGATGAATTAGTTTGCGTTCTTGATACCATGAAAACGTTATTAATATTGGTCTCAACAGCGGAACTGTTCACAATGAAAACAAATACCACACGCTGACAACAGTTTTACAGTAGCAAAGTTGCAGGTCCACTGCAATTCCCTTGATTTTCTTAACCTCCTTGGAAGAAATATCACATAATATCAAACCAGTTTTAGAAATCCGTCCATCATGATCTCCTATTCCATTTGACATTAAAAACAACTGCAGCTCGAGGATTTTTAATAAGTAATTGATGATTTGAGTACATAGCAAGCAGTCACCGCAAAATAGTTCAGGTCGATTCATTCGATACAATAGGAACACAGCTTTCTATAATAGTAATGTGATTGTGCCACATAACAAGGGATGGAAAGTTGGATTCGTTTCTCGAAGGATGGTCGATATTTCAAAACACAGGAATATTATCCCATTTGAGTCAAAAGTGAGCAAATGTGGGAAGAATATACCAGTCTATAATTCTTATCGGGTATATACAAATATAAAACAAAATATTGGAGAGAATAAAGCTCGTAGGGGCTTGTATAGAAAGCAAGCAATTCATTAATAAGGCAACATGAAAACTAAATCAATAGTTTAATCAAACAGACTGTCGCATTAGGAAGCATGTGATCAAGACAGGTAATAGGTCAAGTTCAAGGCGAAGAAAATTTCAGAGCCTGTAGCATTGTGCACAGTTTGCACAGCCGTGGTTTCAGAACCTTGATTGCAATGGCTTAAGAAATAATCGGCAGATGTTTCTTAAGCTGTTTGGGTAGAGTTTAGGGATGGTATAAACGACTTTAGACGACTGGTTCATGTGGACTTGATATCTAGTGTTAAACAAGTGTTGTAAAACTGAACTGTTGATGGATTTTACGGGGCCTTTTAGTAGTGACGCGGGACAATGTTCAGTGATTCTTTTGGACAAATATCTGGTCTTATGTCCAAGATACCTAGCCCCACAGGTGCAGGTGAACTGGCATAAGACAAACGATTCGGATCGAACCGGAAGTTTATCCTTTAAGAGCTGAAGAATCAGTGGTCTTTTTTCAGCAAGTAGTTTAAGATTGGCGACTGGAAATGTCTTGTCCACTGCCGTTGATATTTTCTATTTAACAGTTCGAACACGACGTCACCTTTAAAGGAAACTGTAAGGAATACATCCTTTTTGTGCACCGTATCGACACACTTGACAGCATCAGGTTGTTTGGAGTGCTTTTTGATGAAATGCACATGGTACTCATTTTCTTGCAGTGTGTTAAAGATGAGCTTGGTTTCGCTTTCCAGCGTCTCTGAGCTGCAGGTGGCTCTGGCACGATGATATAAGCAACGAAATAAATTCATCTTGTATCTCAGTGGTACAAGGCTAAGAAAGTGGGTGCATTGACCTACGCACTTCACTTTGCGAAAATCACTCCTTTCGATCGTCTCGTTTTCACGCCGATGCCAAGCAGCCATCTTGCTCAACTTCACTGGAGAATTTTAGTGATGGATTCATTCTCTTAAATTGATCTAATAGGGTTAGATAGTCGGTGGAAGAATTACAGACAAAGAAAGTGTCCATGTAACGGTAGTATAAAACAAACGAAGTAATAACCGTGGTCAGGGGTACACGTTCGTTCTTTGGAAGGAAGATCACGGCCAAAAGGGCGCCTAGTGGCTAACCCATTGCGACTCCATCTATCTGTCTAGAATAGATTCCATTAACCAGAAATTGTACATTGAATGTGAAACGCAAAATCAGTTCTTTTAGTTGTTCACCGGAATTCCAACAGCAATGTTTCGCTCAGTGATGAAATGACAAATGAAGGTCGCAGTCTCTACAAACGACACGTTCGTGAAAAGTGATTCCACGTCAAACGAAAGCATTAATTTAGCCTTCGCGTTTAGGTTTTCTATTCGCTTGACAAAATCAAACATGCCTTTGACCGTTTGATTTGATAATTCTTTGCGAAACGAATCCAGCAAATCTGTTATCCACTTTGCGACAGAACGAAAAGCGGAAGTAGACCTACCCACCATTGGTCGCATGGAAACGTTTGTTTTGTGCACTTTTGGCAAACCATAGGCGTCCTGTGCATTTCATCGAAAAACACTCCAAACAACCTGATGCTGTCAAGTGTGTCGATACGGTGCACAAAAAGGATGTATTCCATACAGTTCCCTTTAAAGGTGACGTCGTGTTCGAACTGTTAAATAGAAAAATATCAACGGCAGTGGACAAGACATTTCCAGTCGCCAATCTAATACTACTTGATTGCAGCGCTTAAAGGATAAACTTCCGGTTCGATCCGAATCGTTTGTCTTATGCCAGTTCACCTGCACCTGTAGGGCTGGGTTTCTTGAACATAAGACCAGGTATTTGTCCAAAAGAATCCCTGAACATTGTCCTGTGTCACTACGAAAAGGCCCGGTAAAATCCATTAACAGTTCCGTTTTACAACACTTGGTTAACGCTAGATATCAAGTCCAGATGAACCGGTCGTCTAAAATCCTTTATACCATTCGTAAACCCTACCCAAAACAGCTTACGTTGTATTTATTCAGTCTGTTAACAGAAATTGTGCCATCAGAACCATGACAGAATAAAATGTAGAGAAAATAGGGACACGAATTGCCATTAAAAAATGGGAAACGATTTTTCTACTTTTACCCGCGCCATTTTGAATTGTTATTTTTGTTTTTTGTTTTAGATGTGTATCAAAGGAGGGATATAATGGCAAAACAACATTGACGCCACTGATGTCCGTTGCGGGTCATGACATCCAATGATTCCAACCACTGCGATTCAGCTTCTCGTATTCCCCAACCTGGAAGACGGACTGGTCCAGCTGTCGCCAAAATTGAGGTTGCCTTCTCCATGCTACTTCTCCACGTCATTGGCCGTCCACAGCGGCAGTTTTTCCACTCTCTCCCTGGGAGTGCAAATAGCGCTCGACGTGGAAGACGATGGGCTGGCATGCGCAAAACAGCTTAAGGAACATCTGTTGATCATTTCTGAAGCCATTGCAATCAAGGTTCTGAAACCACGGCTGTGCAAACTGTGCACATTGCTACAGGCTCTGAAATTGCCTTCGTCTTAAACTTCACCTATGACCTGTCTTCATCACGTGCTTCCTAATGCGACAGTCTGTTTGATCAAACTATTGATTTAGTTTTCATAATGCCTTATTAATGAATTGCTTGCTTTCTGTGCAAGCCCCTACGAGTTTTCTTCCCTCCAATATTTTGTTTCATAATTGTATACGCACGATGAGAATGATCGAAAAGAATATTCATCGCACATTTGCTTAATTCCGAAACAGGAAAATGTTCACTGAAGACCTGCCTGTGTGTTGCCATCATACCTTGGCTAGATAAACTTGAACTCGCTAAGGGTTCATAAAGTTGCATAGTGAACATAAAACCATATACAACTTGTTATTAGTGAACAACCAATTAACACATTTTTGTTGGCATTCATTCCGAACACGTTTTAATATGTGGTCACAGATTTTGAAATGAAGCACTATTTAGTATTTTTGAATAAACTTTCAGTAAAGACCCTAATGTCTTATAATTGGAAATCATTTTGTCCAATGTAATTTTGTGTTAATTAATGCAGTGATTAAGTCACGTTTTAGTATGTCCTTAAAAATGGTCGCCAGTAGAAAATGGGTTAACTGACGAAGTAAATGCATATCCTATTTGGGTGACGTAACCGGATTCACTTGACCGTCGCTATTTTGTGAACAAATTGGCTGCCAACCGAGTT